TGATTTTCAAGATTCTCTAAAAGTTGATACAGTCCAAACATCCCTTCTGTTTCCTCTGTTTGCAAAGGAAAACCCTGGAGCTTTGTCACAGGCAATGAAGTGTCATTCAAGGGTGTGTCCGGCCACATGCCATTGCATTTACTGGGCAGCAGCATGCTCCACTGATCAGCATGTAGCTAACGGCAGTCACGTGCCAAGAGCTTAATGTAGTTTAAAAAAAGCAACATTCAGCCAACCACATGTGAAACTTGCTGACTCTTCCACTCTTAAAAAAACCCCAGCAACTTCTACTGGCTGAGTGAAATACAGACCAGCACTCTGTGCACTGCCAGTTCAGATTGACTGGGGGGGGATGAGGACTACCAAAGGTGACTGCTTCAAAGACACTTCCATGAGGAAGTCAGATGGGTTTTAGAGTGGCTTTGATACAAGTTTAGGTTCATCTATAGAGAAAAGTTACTTAAATTAAAGAATGGTGCGAATTAGAGAATAGTTGTTCACAATGCACACAATTGTTCTTTCTCTGCAAAGAGCCTACCTAGGAGGGGGGATATTCAGGAACATCGCTGCGGAGCGAGCATCATAAAACTGTTTGTCTGCATAGTAGCTGTAAAATTCTGAAATGCACTCACTAACGTGAATACAAAAGAAGATTTCTACATTTGAACTCTATCATAACATCGGCGGAAATTTTAACACCAGAATTTAAAAGAAACCTGAAAGACAAGCACCTGAAAGACAGGCACGTGAAAGACAGACGACATCATGGTATGGAGAGTGGGCTCCCATCTGTGATTTTCTTTCTAGAGGAAGGCCCAGGTGGGAAGTTAAGATGTAGGGATACATCAGAAGAACTGCAAGAATAGATAAGAGGTGAGATAAACATGGATTGCTTCTCCTAGTAGGACAGCATTTGTTAAATACACCTTGAGAAGAAAGCCACTAGTTTCTTGTTATGAATAAGAAAATTTGAATAAATTTAACAAATAGTCCAATCCTACACATCAGTTTTGTATGACAGTCCAAACCAGTAGTAAATTTCCAAATAGGTTCTCATCTCTGAACGACAATAACATTTTTTCCTCAGTTTTGAACAAGTTGGTGAAGGTTTATTCAGGGTAACAGTGTGCACAAACTACACATATGCTTGGCCTTATCTGAATTCACAGTTCTCAACACTGAGATTCAAGGCTATGAGGGTCATGCGTTTAAAAATTAACACCTTCAAACAGAAACATTTCTCCTGCCAACCAAAACCCCTTGAAGACAACACTTGGGTCTTGAGAAGAGTTGGGTAAGGCTAAGGAGCAGCGAGGGGAAAAACAGCTGCTTGCAAACAAATGTCACAGGGATGACAAGGGATACTGTCATCCCTGCATGCTTGTGAGCTCGCATCAGCTCCTGTTAACTATGGCAGACTTAACACAACCAGCAATACTGTTGACGAAGGAAGAGACAGTCCATGGGGAAAATTCAAGAAGGCACAAAAGTTGTGTTTCAGTGTTTTTCTCCCCTACCTCATTCTATCAGTGATGCTCATCAGCTAAGAAAGGAAGGAGTCATCGTTTCATACCAGAGTACTGAAACACATCCTCATGCCTAGGATGCAAATGAACTCCCCGACATGCCCCCAGAAGAACATTATGTAAACAGATTTCAGTACAAAATGCCTGGAAGACCCATCAGCTTTGGAGTAACTTCACTTTCCTGAGAGAAGAGGCAGGAGCAGAGGAGAGTGAAGCTGGAGGAAACCCAACTCATCTTATGCATTTCTCCATTTCATAAGGTGTTTGTGGCAGGCTTTTCAGAGGAGCAAACGCTAATCTGAGCGCTACAAGACAGACTTGTTTACAATACAGACCCACTGCTTGAACCTAGGAGCTGGACCACCTGTATCATCCTAATAATGATGCTCCTGAGGGAAAGCATCAATTGCCCCTTCGCCTCTCTCATTCACTGCTATGTACCGGGTGCAGGCTGCAAATCAAAAAAAAAAAAAAAACCCTTTCACAATTCAGTGAGTGCTTACACCTAAGAGCACAAGATGTGGTGATTGCCTTTATTTTAGTACATATGTCTCAGTTATACTCCATATGCAAGCAGCATCCCTTTGGGTAGCAAGCTACCAATTGTTTTTATGGCCACTCGAGCAGAAATTACCAAAGGACAGAGGGGAGCACATCACCATCCCTTCTTGAGCAGGAAGGGGAGCACAAGACAAGCCTATAAGGCTCCCTCAGTTATAGTGTGTGTTTCAGACTGAAAAGTCAACAAAAAAAGAAAGAGGCAGAACTGAGAAGCTGAGGAGACTGTAAGTGTATCTGAGAGCAGAAGCAGGCCAGCTCGCTCCATCGAGAGTTGGAGATCAAGACTGGCAGTGCAGTGGTCACAGGGCAGCATGTCCCAAATTACACTGATCCACATCCTGCCCCCCAAGTGATTTTATCAGTGGTGCTCTTCCTCCTGCCAGCTGCAATGCAGCTGTTCCTGAGCTACGTTCAAAGTAGTGCAGATCCCTATTCCTTCTTCATGGAGCTTTTCCCACTGAGCTCTGTGTGCCTCCCCAACTGGGAAGTGCTGCTGAAGGAAATACTTCGGGAATATGGGAATAACAAGATACAGCCCTAGGTAGACAGAAGGCTTTCCACAAATGGAACATGAATAGCAAAGAGCAGATACAGAAAGCAGGCAACAGGAAGCGGAGAAGGCACAGAAATAACACTACATTTGGACAGTGAAGTATTAATATCCTGAAGTTAAGAATTAAAGCAGTTCTAGGCAAAAAGCCACCTGCAGTAACTTGTTTATCTCTTTGCAGAATAGGAAGAGGAGATCTAGTGGCTGACTAAATGAGGAGGACAACAGAATTGACGCATGATAGAGAAAATGGCTTGAAAGGTAATTCTTCTCCCCTTGATTTAGATTAAGTGGACACCAATTGATCACAAAATAATTAGAAACACAAGTTAGAATTCTGAAAGCACCATGAAGCGAAGGAACCAAACCATTTTTAAGAAGTGGCAAGAGTTTGTGTGAAAGGGGCTGCACAGTGATCGTCCAGCTAAGCAGAAGAATTTCTGAGGAGTGTGATGCACATCCCCCTCTCTGATACATATGATTTTTAAGAGGAGTCGAGTGCTCTGTAACATAATCCTATGTGTTGGCTTTCACAACCCATCTGTGGTGAGCAAGGAGAAGTTTTTCTCTTACTTCTTTGATGCATCATTTGGCTCATTTTTTTTCCCCCAGCTTTTGTGCTTGCTTTTGCCATTCTGTAGAGTGCCGATGATTAACCACATCCAGAGAACATGCAGGGCAAACTGCATTGGGGCTCATAATGTTCCATTTTATCAGTGGCCTGGCTGGTGTGTCCTGTCCACCTGCTTAAGGGTTAAATTCAGCATTAGAGGTCAGAAGGAAATCCCTCTCTCCTGTCTCCAGCTACACTGCAGTATTTTTTGAGAGAAGGCAATGGTTTCAATCACTCTTGCTTTCTTCCAAAGGAGTATTGCAGTTGCAGTCTTTGGTCTTTTAAGAATTTTGTCACTCCTTGGTTAAGACTTTGTTGACCATGCATGGCAGCAGGATAGAATGGGTGTTCTGGGGAGCCTAAATCCCTTGTAGGCTAAACTACAAAAATGTGTGTGAGGCTGGGACATGATAGCACCTTTTAGTCCTAACTTCTCAGATGACACAAGAAAATAATCACCTTTAAATGTTTTTAACAGCAGCATTAATCAGTGAACTGTATTGAACAGTTTTGTAGTAACTGGTGAGTAAATGCTATAATCAAATAGCACGAGGAATACACAGCATTCCCAGCACCCCCCAAAACCATGCTGACATCTATTTCACCATTCCAGTTTAAAACACAAATGCCGCTCATACAATATTTTGCCACTAGCCTGTACCTTGATCCCTTGAAGAAAAGTGACTCTCTCTGCCATTAATCCATAAGACAAGTGCACAACAGACAGTTGGAGTGAAAAGATGCTCAAACTCCAGAAAACAAAGCTCCAGTGTGCACGTATTCACTTCAACAGCAGCGTTCCCCGCAGTGTTGATCATAAAACTACCTCCACCTCCATAAAAAATTTCCACTCTTTGTCTTTTCTAGCACTACTTCCTTCCCCAAAACAAGAAATTAGAACAGAACAGCCGTCCCATGAATTCTCCTAATTCCGTGATTAATATTAATCACAGAATCTCAGTTCTTCTATGAGGCATAATACAAACAATGCGTGTGTTTAGATTTAAGTTTTTCCAGAAATTGAACGGGATATGATCTAGGAGTTCATTTACTTTACGCCACATTAGACCTTCCTGAATTTGTTAGTTCCTGATGCCAGTTCCGCAAGCAGACAGGCTACCACTGCTTTTGCCACAACTTGTGATGTCATGTAGTATTTCTTTTGAAGATCAAATGACTTTAAATACATTTTAATATTATCAGCTTTTAAAATATCAGGAATTTAATCTTCCAAAAGGATAGCATGCAACAGCACATATTACATTTTTGCAATCTTTTCAAGTTACAAATTTATTTTTTTCTCTCCACTTTGGATTACAAACTAATGCAACTGTCTAGCAGTTTGAAAATCAAGACTGCACGCAGAAATGTCTTTTCAACTCCCATTAAAAAACAACACAAAAAAACCCACTGTAGAGAATGATGTCCCAAAATGATCAACTGTATCGAATTCAACCATCATAGTTCACGTACTATGTAATTACTCATATTTACTTATTTCTTGTGATCTGCTGCATACCTGTTCCAAAATAGATCACGAGATAATCAGTGAACTCAAGACACATGATAACGGTACAGTTGTAACTGGAAAAGATTACAAACATGATATTCGGAAGATCGTAGAGACTCTAGAACATTCCACTGAGCAGCATATGTCTTTAGCTACATTTCCAGATATGGACCCTCCATGCCTTCTTCCCTAATCCTCTCATTCATACAGCTACATGCATAAAAACCACAAAGACACTGATTTACATAAAATTATCTCACTCCATTTTATTTAAGATTTTCTTCTCCGGTTAGTAAAAGAAAGATGTGTCTCTCTTTATACATATGTACAAGTTCAGTTATAAAAATAGACAGCACATTCAAAGAGAAAAAAAGGCTTGGCATTTATCTGATTCCCTCTAAATATCATATATACATGTGAATAGGAGAGGAAGGGGGAAGTCTTCATCAGTTAATTAAACACCACCTCCCCCTCAATTATCCCCTGCAAATCTGTTTAAAAATCAATCTAACTAAGCTCAGTTCTGCTATTTTCAGGTGTGCAAATTAGAGGCAGAGCCAACAGGAAGCACTCGCTCCACACTGTAGGACGCCAGGCAAAGGATTTGGGGTTGGAAAAGAATTATAACAATAAAAAAAAAAAAAGTCATCTTCAGCTGTCACAGCCCAGACCTGCAACTCAACTTGCTTCTCTCTCAAGGGATGAAAGTGCCCCGGCAGAACAGCCTTTTAATTCAATGTGGCAGGCAGAAGCACTGCCCCACACCTACATCTCAGTGCAATGCAGACAACGCTTACAGCAAAGCAAGGGGCTACGGGAAGGGTTTGTGCATTGAGGATGGGGAAGGAACAACCAGAGAATGAGAACACAGACAGGCACTGGCCACGCTGCCTTCTATCAGCCTTATGGGACATGGCTACTGGTACCTGCACACCGCAGTGCACTCGACCAAGCTAGGAGGTGTGATGACCACAAATATGAAGGGAAAACACACTGGAAGAACAGTCAATGGATGGCTGGGATAAGAGACAATTTTCTTCCCAGGATTTGGCTGGAAGGGGGAAATGGCACAGTTCTGTCTCTCTCAGGATTGGTTTTCGTTGCTCCCCTCACAGCACTGCCAGCTACAGAACTGTGCTCTGCTATGGCACAGTGAGAGCAGCAGCAGCAAACTCTTCCTCAAAACTCTTCAGCTTCCCCTCTTCTTGAGATTTGTACAAATAAAGCCTTGTTTTGATTCTAAGCTTTTAAGAGTTCTGCAAACCTCAAAAGTGACAGAACTCACTCTGAACACAGCAAGCATTCATGCTGATGAGAACTCTGAAATGCAACCCAAACCATTGGCTTGTGGTTTCTTCCACTGCATGAAGCAGAGGCAGTGCTGCTGCTCTCACTAGGCCTGCCAGCGCGCTCTGCATTCTGCGGCCCTGAACCTCCTCCTGACAAATGGTGCTGAAAAGAGTCCATTCCCTGGAAACCACCCAAGACACCCTCCTTCGCATTTCAAACCCTTAAAGAACCCAGAGGCCCACACTAGAAGAATCCAAGATTTTCTTTGATCACACACCGTCTTCAGCTTAGCTGCCAGTTACCCCTGCACGTACACTGACCAGCTGCCAGTATGGAAAAGTCTCGTGACTCTACAGGATACTCTTGGGGTTCCGACACAGATTTCATAGGATAAAAACTAACACTGGGTTCCACCTCAAGCTACAAGAGAGAAAGTATATTGGTGTGACTTCAAGCACACACAGCTGCAGGATATTGCATGGAGTAGCTGGATGCTTTCTTGGGAATCTTGGTCAGATGTGTCAATAAAACACAAGCTGACACTCTCCCAGTTACCCCAGACTCCCTTCCCTCCTTCTTGCAGTGTCTGCAAAGATAGTTTTTTGGAATACACATAATCAAAGTGCTCACATAAACCACCCTTTCCCATTGTGCTTTGATTTTCTTTTCACATATGTGCTGGACAGCAACAAGGCATTCATTCACATGCCTTCAACTGGCAGGGTGGTCTACTCTGAAAGCCAACGCAGTTCAGACAAGCTTTGGGGGTTCAAAATCACTACCGACCACCTGAGGTGTGGGCACCTTTGCTCTGCTTCCGAATTGGAGTTTCCGATATGAGACTGCTGGTCAGGTTTAAGCTTTTGGGGGTCCCACAAACACTGTTTCCTTTGCTCAAAGGGGAGCTCAAGGGAGAAGAGGCGCTTGAAGGTCCAAAATCTGTAAGTCCAGAAGGCCGAATAATTGCTGTTTGTAGAGGGCTACTTGCAGACATGCCTAGCAATGGAAAAGAGAATCAAATTCCACATGAGAGTATTATTTCACTTGCGGCTCTTCAACAACAAACAATGTACTAACAATCCATCCTAACACCTCCCTGTATTCACAATTTATGAGATTAATGAAAAGGGATGTCCTTAAGATATAAAACACTTTGCAATTATACCCTCAGCCAACTTCAGCTGCTGTAAAGCTGAAGGCCCATCACCATTGGTTTAGCAGATTTTGGAACCTGACGCTGTAACTTCAACATGACAGCAATGCAGGAAAGCCGCAGCTATACCCATGGGATAAACAACACTATCTGATTCGTCTGGACACCAAAGGAAAAAAACAAGAGGAAAAATATTTGGTATGAGATAATTCAAAGGGCAGACGAAACTTCTGCAGGACTAGCCTCTCCAGGTCATCTGCACTGAAACTGGCTACCCTCTCACCCCATTACTGTGTCACATTGTGTACTACCTGGATCTCAGAATATAACGGACAAGGAATACCAACAACATAAGCCTTTTTATCTGTTTTTTGACAGGCTATAAACAACAAACACCCAAACTCATGTGGTTGGTTCTGCTCTGGGTAGTCTGCTGCCTTCCCTTCCCCACATACCTTTAGAGACATTGTACCCGTACGCTGCATATGCCGCTGCAGAGGCTGCTGCTGCCCCTGCTTTGGCACCAGCCATTGCAGCTGCACTTCCCGCTATCGATTTCCGGCTTCTGCCTTTCCCAGTGCCGCCTTTTGATCCACTGCCCGAACCTTTAGGACGACCCCGGCTTCGACCTGACTGGCCTCTCCCAGCGAGAGGTGTATCTTGCATTGAAACACCTTAACAAGAAAAGAATGTTAAAACAGTAACTGCTGTAGTATTTCAGGTGATTCACAAATGAATACAGCATCGTAACTACCTACCATTTCCATGCATACCATTCCTATTTAGTGATACTCTTCATTGACATTAATACAGACACTGTTAGCAAGCAGCAAGCCCATGAAAAGAAATTTTGTACACAAACCTTCACTCCTCACTAACCACATCTTATTAACTCCAACTGCTTGTCATTATTACTATGAATTCAATCCGCAAATAGGTGGAGGATTCTATGTTCTACTTCAAGATGAAGCATTTTCTTACTTGAAGACAGATATGAAGTTTCTTCCATTTGCCAGCTGTAAAGAAACTCGTCAAGAACTATGGCTCTACTTATTTCAGTGTAGAAAACTATGGTAGTTAAAAACATTTGCCATTATTTAAAATTACAGCTGCTCCAATCACCCATCGGAAAAAGACAACTGATTATTAACCCAACAGCAAATTCAAGGAAAAGCTTAGAGATTATAATTAGTTAGATTAGTTCTGCAGTTGTCTGTAATTTGGTAATATGCACATAATGGAAGGGGAGCCCTCTGTAACACAGGAACAAAAGACAAAACTTTTAAGAGTAACTAATAGAGAAAAGAGGAAAGTGTGGTGAATGACGGACTATAAACAGATTTTCTGTCAAATCACAAGTAATTTCTCAATGAAAAGGCAATTTTTTTCTCCAAATCTTGCAAACCATGCATATACTCTGGTTAAAATGCAGAAAACGTAACACCTAGCCATACAAAGCCAATATTTAATAAATGTTAGTAGTAAGTCAAGGCAAAAAGTACTGACCATTCATGGTATCTGACACTGAGCCAGTAATGGACACAGGAGAGTTTGTTGCCCTCGACTGAGGTGCTGAAGAAGCTGGATCATCCACAATCACAAGCATATCACTACTGCTCTCATCAGGAGGAATAGAGCCCATATGTAATTCACTGTTAATGGATATCTAAACATGACAGAGAACAAAGCCATTCACTTCTCAGGTTAGGAAAGGGAAGGGTACAAACATAGTAAGATCTTCAAAAGACAAACAATCACAAGCAATTAACTAGTACTTGTTCTGTTCTCTCTCACTTTCTCTGTGTGAGACTTGCAGCATGATGCACGATCTGCCCAATCACACCACACCCTCTATTTACATGCTGAGTGGCAGTAAAGACCTGCAGGAGCTACTTAATTTCAATTAATGAAAACAGATGTTAAGTTAAGAAGCAGGAGACTAATGGTCTCAGCAGAGATTTAAGAAAACTGCTGTTCAACCGTGCACCGTCAACGGCAAGAGAGAAAACAATAAGATTCTTAACCTCCCGCTACTGCTAATAAAAATCTTGGATCAATAAGGGAACAATACAACATAGGAATCTCAATCAACATGGTATAGAACAAAATGTATCTGCTGCCACAACCAGTTTGCAATTCTTTACAAAAAGCTGACGGAAAATATGATGTATGCCACTGAGAATTTACAATTTAGATTCCAAAGAAAAAAACGACACTAATCCAGAATCAGAAGCAAGGAAGCATACAGAAGGAGATGCAGGTGAGACTAGCAAGGAGTACTTACAAAGTAAATATCAAGGAGCTATTTGAGGGATACTGTGGTTCAGGAGCAGAAAGAGACTGTTCTTGCTACAGAACGTATTGGTATGGAAAAAGGCACGTGGTGTAAATGTGAGCATGACAAAGGCAGGGAAAAGGGAGAAGAAAGTAAGTGGGACTGCAAGCAGTAATGGAAAAAAATACAGAGGCTGAAAGGCAGGAGAGACAGGGCATGAATTCATTGTGGAATATCAAATAACGTAAGAAGCTGTAAGCCAGCTTATTGGCAGCTGTTAAGTTTTCAATAAACTATTTTCATTTCCCTGGTTCACCTTTAAGAGATATCATTTTCCCAAATAGTCAAAGTTCTAAACTAGCTAAGATAAGAAGCAAGAATCCTACAAGACGTAAGGCCACAATTGAAATAGTATAGAGTTTAAAGCAGCAGTGAGAGTCTTACCTCACTGAAAGGGCTGGGCATGGCAGAGTCTACACTAATGAAGGAGTCATCCCCATCAGCAGACAGGTTGGAGTTATCAGCCGAGGGAACAAACGGGATCACAAGGTTCATGCCCTCTTTCTTTCTCTTCCCATCCAATTCATCTTCCTTCTTCTTCTGAAATAAGTAAAACAATACCAGGAATGAAAAAGGTGATGGATAAAACAGAAGAAAGGGAAGAAGGAACCCAAAATCTCAACACCTAATGCAGTATTACAACTCAAGGAATGCCACGTCCAGAATTTCCCAAAACAAGTTTCTGAAGGACACAATAACAGATCCCTTACAGGCTACTTCCTTAGATTTAAGAGGTTTGTTTTTTTTTTTCCCCCCAATAGCTGGAATGATGGAGAATTACTCTTACACAATTACTTTGATTTCCATTACCTTTGCAGCAAGCTTGAAATCCTTTACCATTACACAAAATTCCTATCAATTAATGCAAAGCCTCCCTAACTCAAAAATTCAGAATTTTCATAAACTAGTTTTAAAGATATTTTTTAAACAAACTGATCTTCTTGTGTTCCATAGAAGCCACATAGCTATATGGGTTTTACCTGTGTTTGGTCCTTCATTTACATTCCCTTTTTGTCCTTTGCAGAACAAAATCTTGATTAAGTCACCATTTTATATGCCATAGAATGATCAGTCGATAATTTTGGTTTTTTCAAGCATGACTCTTCAAATTGTTGTGTGTAGACTACCAGTGATCTGCAGTGGTTTTTGGGTATGCAGTACTTCCTTATTTTTCAAGTTGCTAATGATACTGAAATACAGATAACTATGCATTACATATTTTGTAATATCCCTTTTCTGTGTAAGGAAGTGCCACAGATTGATGTTCAACAGTGAAGGGAAGAAGGCATTACTCATTAGACCGCCTTTGCATAAAATGTTTCCGCCCCACATAATAGTGAGCCTGAAGCTCTTCCGGCTCTATCACTGACACGGGCAACCTCTTTGCATCAAAGTACCTTTTCAGCGTATTTTTCCCTTTTACGTTTACGTTCCTTCACACGATTTGTTTCTTCTTGCTGTCGCTTCTCTTCTTGACGCTGACGCACTGTCAGAAAAGAAATACAAAGTTGTCACTGCTGGAAAGGTATTTCATATCCATTTGTGACTCTTACAGGAAATTCTAGTTCTAACAGAACTGTGAAGAAAAGTCAGCTGTATTAGAACTAAACCTCACTGAAAACACCACGGGATTAAAACTATTTGTATCCAAACTACTAAAAAGTCTTATAGTGAAATTCTGCTTTCAAGCAACATAAAAGCCTATACCTCTAATATAGCTTCAAAAGTATGATGCAATACAGCATTTTTACTAATATTTTCCTTGTCATGACCTACATAGCTCTTGTCAAAGCTTTGTCATTCAGGAACAATGTAATGATCCCGAATGAGTGCCAATAAAAACTTTATCGCATCATCATGTCTCTCTTGCACAACTTCATCTTTCAGCTCAACAGTGATATGAAACCAGCTTGTACTAACAGGAGTTGGCAATACAAAAAGAGCCAGGAAACAGAAGTTGTTATCAGCAATACATGTGTTTGCAGAGATAAAAACACAGATTTCATAAGCTAATGAAGTGGAAGATAGGGAAAATGCTGCAACACGAATTTCACATACATTTCTTTTCCAGTTCCTCATCATCCAGCAGAAGGCTGACCACCTCTTTTGGCTTCAAGGTGTCAGGTTTGAAATTGCCACCTGAAATCACCATTCGTTGGATCTAGAAGGAACAAAAACACAAGAGAGAAAAAAAGGAAAAATTACTCAAAGCAGCCATGAACCATTCTCACTACCCTTCACTGAAAGCCAGCCAAAGAGATGCCAGCGCATCTGTGTAAGTAAGAATTGACTGAACTCTATCATACCAAAGTTAGTAGCAAAATTTCAGGGAAGATTTATTAAGAGTATAATTAAGAGTATAAAATAGGAGAAGTAATCAAGATAGAAAGCAGGAAATTGCCATCCCTTGTGCAAAGTTGCACTTCTAAAGCACCATGTTACAAACAACAAATGACAATAGTATTAATATACTGTTGAACAAAAAGAAAAAAATACAGCGGTACTACTGTCAGGTATAAATTAACAGTCCAATTTTTCAAGCAATCTGCACAGAGGATCATGCAGACCACATCCTTTAAGGGTACAATATTTTTAGTCCCCTTGACTGAAAACCAAATCTCTGTACTGAGTCAGTGTCTCAGTTTAAGCAATTCACTCACTTTCTATTACTGCAACTATATTAAAAAAAAAATAAGAAAGAAGAGTCGTAACTTAGCAAAAGCGGACTAGCTTTAGCATAGGCCAATCTCGATGATTTGGCTCACCAGCAAAAGGTCTACATTTTATTTTCAGGTTGACATTAGGTGACTCTAGTGCAGCCTCCTAGAGAAAACAGGTTAAGTTTCAACAAGGGAAACGTGAATGCATTCAGCTGGAGATGCTTGTTGCTACAGGACCATGATAAGCATCTGATTAAGACAAAAGCTAAAAGAAACTCTGAGTACACAAAACCCTTGAATGTTGTATACAGTATACCTACTGCTACCAAACAAAGTGAATCTCCTTATTTTTCTCTTGCCAAGAAAGTGTCACGAGGTTTAAAGTTTCTAATACACTAACTGCTTGATGCTGCAGGACACTGAGCTCTTTTGGCAACCCTCATATCTCAATTTTCACTTAATACTTTTTTTTAAGAAATTTTGAAGGTAATCAGCTGCAGTGTAACAGTATAGCATGAGAGAAATCAGTAGCCCTGACACAGCGAAGAGAGAAGCTCTAGCCTTAAAGAAGCCTGAGTGGTTTCACTGCATCATAAGAAATAGTTTTCATGAAGTCATAGTGTAAATAATTAGCTTCTTCGTAGTTCACACAATGCAGCTGGAATGCTACTGTGGTAGGGACACAGATTTGTTTATGTGAACAAAGAAGTTCCCTTTTGGCCTCTCTTCTGTCTCTCTGCATGTACTTTTTCTGTTGCTTTACTCATTTTGATATGTGTTTTCTGATTCGATTTCTGTAACTTCTTGTTCCAGATGATTTCTTTATTCCTACCTCACTCTTTTCCTTAGCCCTTTGTAAGATGCGCTCCTCAATAGTGCCTTTACATATCAACCGGTATACAGTGACTTGTTTTGTTTGACCCAGCCTATGTGCCCGGTCCATGGCTTGCTGGTCTACTGTTGGGTTCCAATCACTGTCATAGAAAATTACCTGCAAAAGAACACCAGAACAGAAAGGATTAAATAAAACCATACATTTAGAGCACCTAGTGATTAAACAAAAATCCAAAATACTTTTAAAAATAAAAGTTCTACTATACAGCCCCCAGAATTTCTGCCTCACTGCAGGCTGTATTAACCTAGCTTTGCCCAGTTCTATGAAGTCTTTTCCATTGCATTTCAGATGAATTCAAACAAATTAACACTTTGAAGGTTTCAACTTCCACAGAATGTCTTTAACATCTTCAACAAATCTGCTTTGGGGGCACAAATTTCCACAAGAAGTTTCAGTGTTACTTACCTTAAGAAGAAAAAGCCCATCAAATTAGAATTTCACAGAAAAAATAACAGTCCAATATTTTTTTCTTTCAAACCTGGATAAAGTCTAGACTAGTCTAACACTTCCAGCGCTTTTACTACAAAAACCTGAAACGCCACATTACCTTCATATTGCCCTATCATTCCAACAGTACTTTATGCACAGTAAGCATACAAAACAAAAACACTGGAAAAAATTTTAGGCAGCAAAGTAAACTATTCGGAAAGTTACAAAACCACAGAACTAAAAATGTTTGTGCAAGTAGCCTTCAGGAGCACGCCTGTGCTTCCATCTGTTTATTTCCTCTGTTGAAGCAACTGCAATCAAGAGAAATTTTCAACCCTGAAAATTCTACAGATACTCGCCTTCTTCTGATTTCATTTAAGTGACAGCAAGATATGACGGAGTATTAAAAAAAATAGTAATATTTTTTGATTCACAGATCCTTGGTTTTGTGCAGCTAAGGATTGATCACAGTCTGTCCTGGGGACAGATCTACATGCACACAGGGTACCAGGTTAGAAGCACAAGGGTAGCTGTTATTGAAGAGATAAATGGTTCATTTGGTCAGTATTCCTCCCCTAGTGACTAGTGGCAGCTGCTCTAGAGTGCAAATCCTTGCAATTCACCTAAAACAGTATGCCTTTATACCTTGTGTGAGTAGCAGGCGAAGCAATTTATCCTCCCAGACTAGCTGATACTCAGCTACGAATGACTTTGTACTTTTAGAGGCATTGCTTCATTCTTCTATGTACAGAAAAAAGGGTAACTGACACCTGTTCTACTGATTCCTTTGCAGCTGAATCTTAAGAGCAAACAGCCATACATGACACAGCACTCTGTCTGAAAGTGTCACTTGCACCTCCAGACCCCTTCAGTTATCCAACTTCTTTCTAGACTCTGGTACTAAAGTACATGGGGAGAAGGAAGATATTTCCAACTGCAACCAAAAACTGTGTACCAAGTGTCACTGGATGCAACTTTGTCACCAAGATAATACTATATTGTAAATACGAGCAAAGTAAACAAGCTTATGCAATTTCATTATGTGAATGGCAGTACTAAAAAAATATTGATCAGCATGGCTAAACCATTGTCAACTTTCACACAGAAAGACCAATTTCCCTATGTATATTGTGAGGCTGGGAGGCAGGAGATGAGCTGCTTGGGAGAAACGGTGGTTGGAGGCATATGAGGCAAGAAAAGCAAAGAAATATTTATACTGAAAAATAAACACCAGTAACCTGATTTTTCATTCTGCATTACTTTACCAAACTTCACCTACCGTATCTGCAGCTGTGAGGTTAATGCCCAAGCCTCCAGCTCTTGTGCTTAACAGGAACACAAAAATATCATTCCTGTAGAGGAAACAGATTAAAAACCCCTTAGTTTTGCACAATGAACAAGAAATAACCACAGAAGTGATTTTTTTGACCCCTATAAAGTTATCAGGGCTATTTCTATCACTTGAACACCTCAGAATGTTTTGTGCTGTTCATTGACAAGAAAAAATCCTGTATGAATACGTGAGAGAAGTTAATCTACAAATCAGGACTATCAGAACATGCAAACATTCAGTTTGCAACAGCAGCTTATTAATCTCTATCAAAACAAGCCAGGGCTTGTTTATCTTGCCCACATTGGAAATTACAATTTCATATGGACAAAGAACAATTTATTGTTTCACAGAACTGATGGATGTTAAAAAAAAAAAAAATCTTGCCTTAACAATGCTCAATTAACAAAGAAAGAAAAATAAATGTTGAAACTGTGTAGATGCAAGTTTTGTTCTAAATTTGGTGGTTTGAACAGAACAAAAAACTCCTCTGGGGGGAAAAAAAGAGAATAATGTTAATATAAGGGCAATGTGGCAAATAGAGGTACATTAGAAAACGACAAGGGTCTACTGGCACAAACAGAAGTCTTTCAGTCTAAGAACTTCTCAACTCTAGTCCTAATTGTGGTGTTGATGTAAATTAAAAGTTCTAATCTTCTTTGTCCACTTTTCTCATCTCTAAAATGAGGATAAATTGATTCATCTCAAGACAGTCATATAACAATTCGTTTGCGATTGACTGTAAAGTGTTTCAAGGATGACAATGTATACAGTACTAATGATCAGATACTGCACAAAAGCAAGAGTCATTTGTTTCACACTAAGTTAAGCTCTTTGAAACACACTTCTGTAAGTAAACTCCATTATTATTACACACACACTGTCATTCCCACCCTGGAGCATTTTCAGTTTGCACTAACTGCATTACATTTACATTCCTTGTGTATTCCAGACAGCATGAAAATCGACGACAAACCAGTTGCTTTTGGTGCACATCGCCCTCCAGACAGAAGGCCCTAGTAGAATATAGATTGTCATTCCACAACACACTTTGGGAAAGCCATCTCTGAACACCTCCTTGGGAGATCCCTAATATAGCCATACTAGCCCCAAGGGTTAGCCTTGCTGGCACCACATTTAGGGATGCTGGCTGCAAAGACAGAGATGAGGCACCCCAATACCTGACTCAGTAATAGTCCT